GATAGCTGCATCATCGGAAGCCGCCACAACTACCCGGGCTCATGGAATGATGCAGACACTTCACTTGGTATCCGAAACAAGCTTCTCGACCCAATTGCTTGAACAGATTCTCGGAAAAACGTTATCTCCTACTCTGCATTCCCATGCTCGACGGGGATGACCGGGCGTGTCTTAACCCCTCTAAAAGACTGAGATATCGAACGCATCCAACCGGGGCTCTGAAGTGCCACACGCACTCTGCACAACGCTATCATCTCGGTGCACCAGGCCGCGGAGTGGGGCATGTGGAGTATCCAGAAAGTTAATAGTCGCCTGAGTCTCCCGCTTCCCTATCACCCCGAGCTCCGGGGCCAGCGCATAAATAACATGTTTCGGTTGGCAAACTATAGAGTGCGCACGGTTGATATCTCGAAGATACGCACTACACTCAGTGGAGAGATGGCGATAACTTCGACGACGCGGTAAGCCTGTTAACATGCATGGCTGTATTAGTTTGAGTTAACCGAAGCTTGTTATGAATGAACCTCTGGATATGAAGGAGCCTCGCCATTTCGTCTTGTTACGGATCGTCGGGACTCTAACTTACAGCTTTGAGGTAGGCGTGCGGGTCCGTCGTGGTCGTGGCGGTGGCTCACACAGACGCCCACACCTTCCAAGATGTCGATCCAGGCTGACTTTGTCAAGGTATCTAGCGAAATCGCCAATTCCTGTGTACGAGCTCGAGCATCTTCTCTGTCGCCGAGCGCGCTCTTCTCTTTCAAGATTGTCCTGACTGCGGCGTTCCTCAGTCTCTTTCTTCTCTGCGTGGTATCCCTCTTCACGAGTAGCCTCTTCATCTAGACGGCGTCGGTCTACGTCAGCTCGCGCTTCTGCTTTCATCTCATTCTCCTCGCGTAAGAGGAGAACCATCTCCTTCCTGCTGCCGCTGAGGCTGGACGAGGTGTTCTCGATGGTGCTGTATTTTGCCTAAGAGCCCCTATTGTCCGTTGCCTCTGCACTGTCTATTTCACCGTCGTCAATAGACCTTTTGCCCAGGATGTCACGGAAAGCGCGCAAGTCCCCACCTCCAAGCCGATTCGACGACGCCGTGTAGGTTGCTGGTGCTACGAGCATCAGCCGTTTCACTTGCGTTGGATTAATGCCCGGTCAAGGCCCTCGGGGATTTTGCCTTGGTAGATCTGGGGGAACGGGTCATGCTCGGTTT